GGGGGCTGAGGGTGGGGCAAAGAACTGTGAACGTGTCACTTAAGGGCTGATGAAGCCTAATGCTGGAACAAGAGCCTGGGACAGAGTGGAAAGTAAAGTTTGTTTCGCTGTTTACTAGAGTGACAGTGCAGTTTTTGTCGGCTTAGTTTGGAGAGGGCCCTAAACTGGTAAACGTTGGAAAAGTTACACCTGCTTATTGAAAAAAGAAAAGCGTGTACCACAGATTGATAATCATGTATCATGACAACTTCATTGTTAACTAAGATTTAGAAAAAAAGGGGAAGTTGTTTCATCTTTGATATTCTGAGGACTTCATTCTGACTTTTTACCTTTATACAGTAAAGATATTGTGTTAAATATGCTTCAAAATTTAATTCGTAGTGCATGTCATTTCCCCAAGTGCTCTAGATTTTAACTTCATCTACACTGCGCCATCTCTTTTAGCACAAAAAAGCTTAAACTCCTTGATCTTTTTACACCTTCAAATTCAAATATTGATCGTTTTGGTCCCAGCGCGAGAATAGAAAATTAAACCGTAGAATAGGGGTTACAGTGGGGTACAGCGAACATGGCGAAGGAGGCCGGGATATACCGCGCGCTTTAATTTCTTGTTATGCTGTTGCGTTTAAGTCTGAAGGGTGACCCGTTTAAACAAAGTACTTCGCGTCTCTCTCGCGGAGGTAAAGTAAAGGTCAACTTCAGTGGCCTGTGAACAGGGCTGCCATATATACTTACAAATCATAATGTACATCACCGTAAAGATTTATCCTTGTATTTTAATTTCTCCAATTTTCTGTCCTGGCCCGCCATAAGCGGCACGTCCAGGTTTAAAAGAGTTTGGGCTATTTTGTCAAAAATGGAATGCGAACCCCTGAACAGCTGTCACGACCCCTTTAAAGGCCTTTAAAAAGGTCTTGTATGATCTATTTACAAATCAAAATATATATCTTCATAAAGCTTTATCTTTGTAGTTTAATTCCTCAAAGTTTCTTTCTTGGCCCGCGATAGGTGGCGTGTCCAGCTTTCAAAGAGTTCGGGCTAAAATGACAAAAAATGTAATGCGATCCGTTGAACGGCTGTCACGCAAGAGGTCATGTATTTGATAATTTCTTAGCAGCCCAAGAAAGAAACTTTAAGGAATTAAACTACAAGGATAAAACTTTAAGATAACATCTATTTTGGTTTGTAAATATATCATACTAGACCTTTTTAAAGGCCTTTAAATGGGTCGTGACAGCTGTTCAACGGTTCGCATTGCATTTTTGACAAAATAGCCCAAACTCTTTTATAATAAAGTTCGGATAGAACGCCTGCTGTCATTGGTTGAAAGGGTGTGCTCTATCAGAGTATAGAACATGGAGTTGAAGCTGTCACGCCATCTGCCAATTTGTAACATGGCGGACCAAATTCCGAATTTTTCTCTCGGGTTTTTATTCGACCCAGAAGTCCTCTACGACCTAGAAGACGAAAGAGAAAACGAGTTATTAGCGTCGATCGATTTAGAGGATTCTGTCAGTGACAATGCGACCTATCCGTTAACTGAAAGTGAGGTTTCCAACGAAGTTAATTATGAAAACAATGAGCGCCGCGGCAATTTAAACAGGCAAAGATTTGAAAACATGTCAAGTGCCGCAATAGACGACATAATTACAAGAGCGGAAAGAAAGAAAACCAAACAATCCACCAAATGGGCTATCTGAGTTTTTGAAGGTGAGTTTTTTCGTTGCAAAAATATGATAAATACAATATAAAAATCTCGAATAGAGTGGACGCACATTTGCTAAATGTTCTTAAAAAAAAAGAACAATCAAGGAAAGTGGATAATTTTAAAATTGGCTAGCAAACACACGTTTCTAACCAACAACTATAACTTTCTCTCGAAAATGAACACCAAAATACAAATAAAAATCTTTTTTTTCGTTGCCGTTTTTTAATAGCTTGGTGTAGCGAAAGAAAAGTTGCCAAGAACCTCCACAACAAAGAGCTTGACCCGAATCTCCGCTACTTTTACGCAGAAGCACGAACAAAAGATGGTGCATTGTATTCAAGGTCATTCCTTCTTGGATTGCGAAATGCAATTGAAAGACACCTCTACAACCCGCCATTTAACAGGGGCATCTCCATTTCAAAAGGCACAGATTTCC